CTAAACGGAAAAGAAACTTGAGGGAGAGGAACAGCACTGCACTGTGTAAATGTGATGGTAATTGGTCCACTATCTCATTAACAATTAAAAGAAGAAAAAGAAGTCTTTCTGGACTTACTAGTTTATTATCTATTTTTACCAAGATTGTACACAGTTTACCAAAATAACAATAATAAAAAAAAAAAATCTGTGAGCCCCCTCTCCTGTAGGAATACAGTTCAACAAATATCCATAAATTCTGATCAATTAGTTGGCGACCCTGGTTTATTTTACTGTAAATCACAAATACTTGTGTATTACAGACAGACTGTGCCACTGGAGGTTTAAATACTTGTGTACAACAGCGCTAATGGACTGTGAGTAAATACAGCTTAGTGATGTACAGTTGTGACCAACACCCATAGCTATTCTTTGGCTCAGGATCAGGATCCGTGTGGCATCAGAGGTGATGTTGGGGCTTAAAGAAGTGAGTATGTAGGGAGTTCCTCCTGTGTCCAGTGTCACAGTGTAGAACAGGAGATAATGTCAGCACTGTCGGGATTAATCTGCCTCAGCTAAGGGCAGAGATTAAGGCCATCTGTGAAAGTGGGACACCGTGGCATCAGGACATGGTTACATTGAACTATAAGCCTCAACAACTGAAAGAGCGCCACGCGGTGTCCTGCAGCAGAAAACCATGAGGACCAAAACAGAGTCTTTATTTATAAATTCTTTATTATGAATAAAAAAACAAAACATTACATCCCAATGACTCTTTCCCTTTCCTACAAGCTGGAGTTTATCCTAAAGATGGAGCAGCTCCAGGCACTCACTGCGTCGATGCTGTTCTGAAAACTAAAAACTACCCCACTTTTTTGTTTTAGCAGAGACAAAAGCATGACTTATTTCTTACAGAGCTCCTTTCCAAGACATATGCAGATCAGAGTATAATTATCAGCAGACAACGTGAATTTCATGCTCCCAGGTGGGCGTGGCTTTGACAGAGCATCCAGATTGTCCTTTGCATTGTCTTAATTGGACGACACAACCTGACATTGTGTCTGCAAACCTAAGAAACATTTCCAAAGCTTTTTTTGCCATCTGTGGATCTTGTGTAAAGAAACTTAACCACTTTCCTATCTTACATCCCTAAAAGGTTTTTAAGTTCTTGACCTTTTTTTAAATGTCTGAGAGTTCACACATGACGACACATGCTGAAAGCTTTCATAGATTTGTCACTATAGTGAATGGTGTGCCACAATGTGACGAATACAACACACCACACACACAAAGTCTCTTTTCACCAGCGAACAGGGTCCCGACCTTCATACCGGGAAATCTTTTTTAGTCTTCTGAACTCCAGTCTGCACTGAAGTCAAAGGAAGAAAAATCACTATCAATTTAATATTTTCTGATCCTTACTTTTTATCTCTATTTTGTTTATTTTAAAACAATTATTACTCCTGCCAGACTTGGTGAGTTTGGGACAAATATGATGTTGGTATAATTTCTGAGCTTGACAAGAAAAAAAACAAAAAGCAATCTGTTATCCCCCTAGACAACCTCATGAATCTCTTTACGATATCCCTTTCAAGCTATCATGTCTTTTAGCGTTTAAGCTTTAAATAATCAGCATGTGAGAGTTTTATTTTAAATCCCAAGTGTTGTAAAATTTGCTTATAAATTTGGGTTTGACTTGTAAATGTAGTATTTCACAGACTCTTTTACACCTCCTAACCCAAGTCTTTATCATCTCCTCATTGCCATTTCCAGTGACTCACCAGTGCTCAACCCTTAAAATTAGACTTAATTACAGTGAGAATCATAAACATGACACGTGCGTATTAAGTGTGTTTAATGACTGCAGAGCCCGCAGATAATTTGGACATAATAAACACTTTTACTGTTGGTGCTGACGAAGAGACACGCCTCTTTTACTTACATGTGGCTGCAGTCTTATTGTCAGCCAGAGTGCACCTGAAAATCAGCTGGTTAATTATAGAGGCAACTGAGGGTAAATCAGGGACATCTGGACTGAGGACATGTCTTAACAGTCTGTATGGCATATTACGAACAGATCTGTCTTTGCAAGACATTAAATATTGTCATTTTCAGCGAGTCTCTGTATCAAACATCACCAAACATGTGATATGATCCAAATGGCAGCCATGATCCAAACCATCTTGCTTTACAAAATACAACTTTTGTGGTACACCTGATGAGTAGTAGACATCATACATGCATTTCTTTTATGTTTGAGGCTTTGTCTGTCTGTGGTAATACATCATCCAAACACAGACACAGCAAACAAGACTCAGGGAAAAAAAAACAAAAAAACCTATTTCAGAAGCAAACAAAGACGTTCCCACAAACCAACTGGAGAGACAAAGTCGAAAAACAATTACAGCAAGACAAAACCAGGTTTAAAAAGATGACCCGTTCACAAAGACAGATGCTGCAAAAGGTGATTATTCCTGTCAAAATGAAGCTTTGAATCGTTTGGGAGCTCTGAAAACAGTGCAGAATATTCAGACGCTTACTACAACAACCCTGTTCTCCATTTCTCAGGTCGAAGTGGGAATTTTTAAACACAATTCCTGTGGTTTGTTTCAGAGATGAGAATACAGGGCACTAGTCACGTTTGTTGAGTCATTTTTCTATTCCCCTTGTACATCAAAAGAATTCACTGAAATCTAAAATGTGTGTGATTTGTCTGGATGTCTCTGTGAGTATTTCAGCAAGAGGTCTTCCCTGTTTTTGATTATGGTCTGAGAAAAAAAAAACTTACTGTAGTGTAAAAAACTGGTTCTCCAAAGAAAGTTGGATAAAAGATTGCTGAAAAAGAATTGAAATGATCTCTACATTTGAAAATGAATGGAAACACTGACACAGTAACCTGTAAGTAAGATAAAAAGCAAAAATGATCACTTATTCTTGGACGCATTCACTCTTTATTTCGGGATCTTTTTGGCTCATCAACCAGCTGATGATTTCAATTCAGCTAAGTCAGCAATGTCAGTTCTTGTGTAGCCTTGCAGCTTTTTGACTCCATCATTTATTTTCACCATCCATGTGGAGTTTGCAAACTTCTGTGGTTGAGCTACAGTAAATCTGTGAGTTGTTTCAATAAAACCATGTTGACACTTATCCCCGTTTTTCTGAGAGGCTTGAATATGACCTAATGAGGGAGTAAGGCTCTTAAAAGTGGCGTCATTTGCTTTTTATCAGAGAGTGTTTTGGACGACAAAGTAATAACTTTGTTCTCTGAGGACTTTCAACTTGGTGTGATACAGTAACCCTATAAAAATGCATTTTGCTCTGATATGTTGTTGCACTATAAAATAGGATCCAGCTGACTTTTTAAATGACAAAAAAGGTTGGAAATGTGTGACTTATGCATTGAATTTTATGGCGCTTTACAAATCACCCAAAGGTTACCTTTCAGAGTTTTACGATCTGTGATAATTGATGAGGATCTGTGTGCCAAGACCTGTGATGTAATTATGAGAGAAAGATATTTTAATGCAATCCATTGTTAATGAACATAAAATTAACGTATTGGCCTCGATCATGATTAAAACTTTTTATGACAGTTTTAGGAAAATAGTTCATAAAGAGCAAACAGAGAGAGCAGTTTTGACGGTGGTAGTAGAGTAAGTAACAGCTTTCATGTTCAAATTTCGAGTGACTCTCCTTGAGTTTACACCTTTGCATCACATCAAACAGCGAGGTATTGAGTGAACGATTGCTGAATATGTTAAGTGAAGGACAAGAACTTGCACACAGATGGTCCAGCTACAGGAAGCCAGGCAACATTTCTGGTCAGGGTTCTGCTAGACATTAGTGGCATTCAACAGTCTGTTTCCCTCTTTTTTTAATGGAGACTGGACAGTCCACTTTCCTGAAGTGTTTCATTAGTTTGACAGGGTGAAGCAAAACACCACGCATGGTGTATAAGGGGGTGTCAGCATGAGACATCTCCTAAATGAGTCATTATCACTCATGTCAACATGCTTCAACTCTGTAACCTGCAAAGAAAAAGCAGTGGCAGACTTCAAATTAAAGAGAAACTGGTAAGTGAGCAAGGCCAAAATAAAACCTGTGCCTTTAAATTTAGAGGAAATGACTTCAAAACAAGCTAAAACTGACAAGGCCTTATTTAAAATACTCTCATCAAAGATTTTTGGTTGGTTTAACAGGGAACTTTTTTTTGAAATCACATCACATATTAAGAAAATTCTGTGAAGAAAAAAAAACAAAAAACAAAACAAAAAACTCAAGAACTCTTGTATGAACTGCCACAGGGCTCTGTTCTTGGTCCCTACTGGGTTTCATGTGGTTTACTTGTTCTATTTTTATTGTTCAAATCACATATTAATTGGTTTTATCGACATATTTTCTTAACTTTAAATAAGACTGTTATCATACAAGTAGAAAAATCAGAGAAAAATACAACAAAATCCAAAAGAAATGTCAGTATGGAGTGCCACAGGGTTCTATTCTTGGTCCCTGTTGGATTTCTTATAATTTATTTTTTTCAAATTTTATTGTTCAAATCACATATAAGTTGTTTTTGTAGTTGGTTTTAATTGGTTTATTTTGTTTTGAATAAGAATGTCATCATTCAGTTAGGAAAATCTGAGAAATATACAACCAAAAAAAAACAGTCCGTACACAGTGCCACAGGGCTTCATTCTTGGTCCATGTTTGATTTTTTTATATATACACATATATATATATATTTTATTGGTATATACATTTTGTTAAATTAGGATCGGGCTGTCATCATACAGTAAGAAAAATCAGAGAAAAATACAACTACACCGTTAAGAAAATATTTGGCTCTGTTCTGGGTCCCTTTATGTTTTATCTGGAGATACCAGCTTATTATACATTGTATATGAAGAAGATTGAATTAAATTCAAACCATGAGGTGCACATTTGCTTTCCTATGGTTAGCAGAAACACCCCCAAGCCTCTCTCTGGTGCTGCCTGTACACCTGCAACCGTCACCTCTAAAAGCTAGAGTAACAGCTAGCAACAGCAGCTTTAAAATGTGGCTGAACTGCAGACACAGGCACCCACTTTCAAACTGTTAACGTCATGAAACTCTGACACACAACTGTGAGGCACATATTACTCAATTCATCCTTTTAATGGCACAGTCAAATGAAAAAAATGTCCTTGAACACACAAACACTTACTGTTAGAGCATTCCAACAGTAATATTTCATCAATTTTTGTATTAATTGCTTTAACCTGTTCAGACTCTTGCGTGTTCATCCACAGAACATGTTGTCACTTGCTTTTCAAGCCATTGTGCTCTCCTCATGAAATACCTGAGCGTAGTTGAAAGGGTTGTGACGGCTAATGAAATGAGCATCTTGTCACTGAATTAATCTTGTTACGCTTGCAAGCATTTGCATCATCATCATCATAATCCAGATGGAGGTTGGGTGTGTAACCTAGATGGCTGATGGACTGTGTGACTTTACGTCTTGATAAAATGCGACAGCTGATACAATTTATTTATGAAACAAGACAATGCAAATATTTCAACAGGGTGACTCATAATTAGATGTGCTTATCACTGGCCTCGTCTGTCTTTTTCCATTAAATGTTGTGGCTGTTAAACACATAGTAGTATACAGACACCCTGTTGTACTGGTATATCTTTGTGTTTGACTTTTTCTTTTTAGAGAAGAGTGCGATTTGGAGGGAGACAATCTTACTTTGCGAATCATGAAAACAGCTGCATCTAGAGACTTGATTACCCTTATGAGTCCTCGTAAAAAATGCAATGTACCACTATAAAAGTAAATATAGTGATGCTTAAAAACTTCGCAAATGGCCTCCAGCTTTGTATAAGTCTTAAATTAGAGTGTAAAGTCTAGATTAACACTTTGAACTCTGCTGGATCACCGGCACCCCCACGTGACAACATTAGTATTGTTTACAATTTCTCAGGAACTGTGTTGTGTATCTTTATGGGGTAAAATGCATTTGAAAGCTTACCCTTTTATCCATCTATCCAGGGTTTCCAGACATTTGTAAACCTGCCATGAGGTTTACAATCCAGCAGCACAAATAGGTGTTTGATCAAAGACTTCTAATGGTAAATCCACAGAGATATATCAGTGTAAACATGATTATTTATTATATTGTTGTGATAAAAAAAGATCGCTATCGCTCAATAACCGCTAATGGACTCCATGTTTGACCGGCTGTTTTTATGATATCACTTCCTGTCAAACTTCAATCAATTATATGGTCTCATATTCTTCTTCTATTGTTTTCTCTCGGGGAATGTCCAATCCGAGGCAACCAACGATCAACAAGTGACAAGACCGTTCTCTGCTCTCTGAAATAATGGTCCTCCATGCTTTGAAACAAGCAAAGAAAAGATTATGTATTTTGCTCACAAACTTTAGACTGACATGATCTGCTTTAATGAGTGGCATACATAACGGTAATTAAGAATTAAAAAAAAATGCCTGTGAGACTAAGTGTAAATATGTAAATAGTTTCTGCTGTGTGTTAGTTCCAATGCCAATATTTCTTGTTCTGATGGCCAAGACTCTAGAGAATGATGTGCAGTTGAGAAGAGGCTTGGTCATGATAGGTTTATGTTTTTTTTGTGCAAAGTACTGTTAGTATCAATTTCCATTTTGTATTTTTGGTTGACTTTTATGGTGCTGAATCTACTGTTTAGCACTCATTAACTGACAGCTGAGGTTGTCCAGAAAAACAAAAGTGTATATATTTGTTGTACTTGATAGGATAGAGTTGATACATAGATTTTTACAAAAGAAAATCAGGTCGACCAAAAAGAAAGCAATCTTTGGCCTGGAATTCGAAGGGATGAACCCTAAGTTGAAAACCTAAGGTTTTTAATAAAACCAGCCAGTTATTAAGACAACAGATATCCCACATGTGGTGAAAAATACTGACAGATTTAACCGTTTTATTCTTATAGTGTGTGGTGTGCAACAATGTGCTGGCTAATACTGTACAAAACAAGTAAACAAGTCACCACATCTATGCAGATGACACATGGTTATACATAACAATGTCACTGGGTTACCAGGGCCCCATACACCGACTACCAAGCCAAAAATCAAATTGTAGCGAAGAATCATTCAGCAACAACTACAAAGTTGGCCCGGTATCCCCTTAAAGAGGCATGGGCCTGGAAAAACTGATCTATGCATTCGTCTTTACCCTACTTGATTACTGTACCAGCATCTCCAAAGGTCCCATATTTAGTCCTTTTCAGCAGGTTCACATAGATCTCAGAGGTCCCTGAACAGTCAATTTGAAGTTTTTTGTCTGAAAACCCAGTTTTTTACTGGATTTCAGCCAGCCTGAAACCTCTTACTCATGCGCTCTACCTAGAACACGCTGTTTCTGTGTGCTGCGCCTGTCCACGCCTCCTTCAACGCAAGCCGCACCCCTCCCTGTCTTAAAGCCTTAGGGCTCTATTTTCGTGCCTGCCGGTGGCGGACCCCGCACAGTGGTATTTTCGTCTGGCAGTGCCTGGTGCACAGCCAGTTTTTTGGTAGACTGAGGCGCAGCAAGGCCCACTAACCTGGGCGTTGTGGTGAGGTAAGGGGAGGTGTCGACAGAATCAGCTGGAGCAGTGACATTTTCGTGCTCACTGACGGCATGGAAAGGGCACTGAAAGCTTGCAGATTCAAACCTGGTCAGCTTTCAGCACAGGTGGAGAACAGCTGGTCTAGTGGTATTTTGGTAGACCGGCAGCATAATGCGCATACGTTACTGATGCCTCACCGGCAGGTTTCCACAGTGTCAGGTACATTTCAGTGCAATAAATAATCATCCACAACCAATATTCAGAGTCAGCAAATACATTTAGATCCATATATATATTCTGATCTACAGTATGTACATCAGAATAGATATATTCTGATCTACAGTATGTACATCAGAATATATATATATATATATATATATATATATATATATATATATATATATATACACATACACACACATATATATATATATATATATATATATATATATATATATATATATATATATATGTATCGATAGTATATGCAACATTTCAGTGTTCTTATTTTCTTTCAGTGTTCTTTATTTTATTTAAGTTTTTCGCTTTGTCATTATGGGGTATTTTGTGTAGAACTTTTGAGGGAAAAGGAATTTAATCCATTTTGGAATAAGGCTGTTACATAACAAAATGTGGAAAAAGTGAATTGGTATGAATACTTTCCGGATGCACTGTATATCTGATATGATGAGTGCGTTTGGCACACGTTTAGACACACAATCTGACTGAATCAACACAACTGAAACCGCATTACATTAAATATCCAGTAAAACGTCACACATATGATGAAGTTAGCAAGATATTTAATTTGTCCCCCTTTATCTCTTCCTCATTTTTTCACGCAGCTTGACTTGAACATGTCTCTGCGTCCTCTCCCTGTCCTGATGCTGCGGCGGCAAGGCTGAACAGATGATTTATTTTAGTGATTCAGATGAATCATTTACTTCAAAAATTTGAGCAAAAAGTAAAAGAAACTTTCATTCAAAATAGCCTGTTTATCTAATGTCCTCACATCCTTAAAATTATCTGAATATTCAATCCGGAGTCAGGCCCATATATGAATATTACATTATTCAGTTGTGTGAGCTAAAATCAAATTTTGTTGTGATCTGTGCCCACAACCCTCTCACGTGTCCTCTCCCCATCCTGCTGCTGCTACAGCAGTAAGGCTGACCAGGTTATTTATTTTAGTGATCAGATGAGTTATTTACTTAGAAAAATTGAACAAAAATAAAATAATAAAAGAAACTTTCATTCAAAATTACCTGCATATCTGATGATTTTACACCCTTAAAATTCTGTGAATATTCAATCCGGAGTCAGGCCCACATACGAATATTATAACATTAAGTTTTGTGAGCCAAATTTATTTTATATGCCAACATCTATGGAAGAAAGAGCCAGGCCATGGAGCGCGATGCGTCCTTTACGCACAGGTGGTTCTGATTTTAATGCCATTACTGGAGTTTATGTTGTGATCTGTGCGCACAACCCACCTTTGTCACGTATGGTTTAAATATATGCATCTTGATGTGATTATCTTTATTTGTGAAAACGGGTGTTTGTCTTACCGGTGGGTACAACCTTACACACACCAAATACCTCTGTGCTTATTTGAGCAAGTGCGCAGGACGCCCTCAGCAGCACTTTCAGCGACACTTGTTGAGGGGCTGCCTTCTGTCGCCATCGTGTGGCATTGCTGTCTTCAGCCATCTCTTGATCTCTTTGACTACTGAACGAAAATTGTAATATGCCTTGCCAGTGGCCAATTTAAAGGTAAGGAGAGGAGCTGATATGATTGGCGGAAAACAGGTCACGGCTGTGTTAAACCCACTCCAAGCCTTCTCACCTCCCTCTCTACCACTTACGCCACTGGAAGGAGCTGAGTTAGGGAGGGGGGATATTTACGTCGGGCTGCGCCGCTCACCAAAATACCAAAATGTGCTTGGGAACGCATTGTCGGCGTGGTGAACCAGACTTACGCTGAGGCACAAAAATAGAGCCCTTCGTGTGTAAACATTTACCATGTGTTGATGTTTACACAGAGTGCTAGGTATGGCTCATAGAAGCGCTGTGGTCCAGCCGTATTAGTTTGATCCAGAGTCTGACCCACAAGGAGAAGCTCATGAAGAAATTCGAACTCTGCAGCTGCAGCAGGAAATTTCTTTTTACTTTGTTTGTCTGTGGAAACCTAGGTAACATTAGGTTCTGCTAAGGGTAACATCTTTGCTGTCCTCTCGTTACTTGGAGCTCTTTTGGTGTATGCACAATATTGAAAGTATAGTTATCTTGCGTGACTGCATAAAATAGCAAAACTTACGGCTCCCTCGTTAGTTGGGTCGTGGACAGTGGGTACTGATCCAGGCTTTAGTTTTAGATTCTTAGCGAATCCTGCTTTGTACTGGCCCTTGTTGAGAAAGCAGTCCGAGGTGAAATGGTAGGAAACACATACAACATTTTAGGTGTTGTTCTGGGTCCATTTCCATCGAAAATGAATACACTGGGCTTTCAAAACCTCAGACAAAGAGGGGGTTAATAAACAGACTTCTGTGCTGCTTCGTGCAGCCAATAACAGAGCAGCTGCTGTGCCTTGCTCGTACCTTCACCATTTCAAACCAGTGTTTGCAAGGGGGAAAAAAATAGTGTCTGAGTAGAATTTTTCGGGGGAAAGAACAAACATCTTAGGCAGGGTCACCAACCTGGAGGGGAGGAGTTATCACCATCCATGAGGTCATGGAAGGTCTGAGTTCTGAGTTCTGAGGTCATTACACCAGCTTCATGTCTGTCAGAGGATAGATATTACAGTCCTGCTGCTGGTTTATGAAATACATCGATCTTGATCTTGAACTTGATCTTCAAGTTCAGTATAGACCATCAAGACTGAGAAGGTCACCTGGGATAGGTCTGCTTTCTTTCCCCAGAGTCAGACCTATACATTAACTTTTTCAACAGTTGGTGTGGACGCACAACAATTTGCAATTGCTTTTTAGCTCATTTTGCAGCTGCCGGCTGCTCCACTCTCCCTCTAAGTGTTGTTCACAGCATGTGGAGACATATCTTTTATCTATATAATCTAGTTCATGCTTGTTTTAATACAGAACATAGCTCCTCCCTTGCACTGTTGTCATATAAACACCTTTTTAGTTTCACTTTCACCCTTTAACCCATCTGATTTTTTTTTTTTTAGGTTGATGAACTCTTTAACTACTGTCCCCATCCCTTACAGTGCAAGGAGACCCATTTTTCGAGTTTCTCAAGGTGCAGAAATCTATTGAGTTTTATTACACAACATAACAACATACATATAAAGATATATTACTGTACAGAATGAGTCCAGAAAGAAGAGTCTGCGATGGTATTCATATACTTTCACATCCTCGATCCATTTTACTGCCTTCAGCACCTTCACAGAGAAAATGCCGACTGTTTCATGACAAGAGATGCTTAACCTTTCAAGTCTGCTTGAACAAATGCTATTGATTCAGGTATTGATTGACAACATACAATGATAGCTTTGGCTTAAATCTTGTATTTCTTGCATCCGCTGAAACAACACGAGGTAAACAAACTGCATCACCCTAAGTGCCCTTGAGTTTTTGCAAATCATAGCTTTTGCCTCAAAAAGGAAACCCTGTTAAAATGTTTCCAAGTTTAAAACAAAACTGACAAAAAGAAAAAAGAAAAACATTAAAAATTATAACATAATGTGTTCCCACTTTTACTCATGAAGCTCTAATCTCGATGCCAAATATCTTTGGCGCAGACTTTTGGTTGCAACATGCCTTTGCCAGATGTTAATGGAATTTCTGCCAGCAATCAGGGTAATCTATCCATTTCCAGATGGATTTCCTCATTTCATTAGCTCCTGATTTGGTCATAAGCCACCTTGAGCAACTTTCAAACAAGCATAACTGATGTGTTGGTGGAAAATCCCATTAGCTGTAGGAATTTAACAGTGAATTTTCCCAGAAATTTCACATAATGTCAAACTTTGAGTATTCATCCTGATAAAAACGGAACCACACTGTATTCAGGGGTGTTTCTGCTTATACGGTAGCATTTTCCCTCACTCCTCAGCCTTTAACAAGACATTTAACTTTTGCATTATTATCTGTAGTTCCTAGATCATCCACGCTCGGTGTTGTGGTTACAGACAAAGAAACCCTGCTTCTTGAAGGGTTACATAGCAGAATGATCCATGAGCCTGCCACCATCCCAGATAAGCAATCCATGTTCCTTTATTGAAGCAAAAGCGTTTTTCCACTGTGCAGAGGTTTGACTCTGTATTGCAAGTCCAGACCTTTATGAGTAATGACCTGTTACATTGGTGATCCCCCCTGCGGCTCCAATCACTCAAGTGATGGTACAGTTGGAGACCAGTGGGATAAACTAGCCCAAGGCAGTAATTACACAGGTCTAGAGTCCTGACTGAGGAGATATGAGTTGCATTCAGTGCAGGAGATCCAGAGAAATGGAGAAGATGGAACTGAAAGAACTCCC